GAAACCCAGCTTTTGCTTGCCGAGAAGTGTGATTTTCATTGCGCGGGACCATACTGTGTAATTTTCAGTACCGGTGAGGACGTGTGGGATGATTACCGTCCCCTGCGTGTCAGACGGATGCAAAAACAGGGGGTGCGAAAACGGGATGCTCTCGGGCGTGACCTTCTCTTCACCCATGGTTCTTACGGTGGAGGATTAGGGTTTCTCTGCGCGATTCTTGGCAGACCGTCGTCGAGGAGCTTTTCTCAGCATCACTTAAACGGCGACGTTTGGCTCTGATGCCATGTTGGACGTGGCAATCCGAAATATCCTCCTAAACACACAGTTTGATCAATCTGAATACTTCATTAATGATCAAAAATGGATTACACTTTCGGGCCTACCGAGACCCATTATATATACAAGTCATAGTGACAAATCAAATTACACTCAGATACGCAACTAGAAACTAATCCTCATGGGCTACATACATTCGGGCCCATCACACTAATTTGGGCCTACAAACTAAACAGGAAAATACAACAAACGAATCAAATATTTCAACACTCTATATTCTTTTTTTTCCTTTTCCTTGTTTAAATTGATCAGATGAATTTATATGCTTCAAATTTAATACTTACAACGTTATGAAGACAATAAATAATTATGGTTTGATTTGAAAATTCATTATCTTTAATTAAAAAAGGGTTGACAGAGCATGTTTGATACGATACGACAGGACGCAACAAGGCTACATGTTTGTGGTCTTAGTTTTAGTTTTTTTTTTTTTTTTTTTGCACCACCAACTTTTGTCCTTGTCTTCTTAAAGGAGGATGATGCACGTTTCACATCGCCGTCAATAACTAATACAAGTCATTTTATTAATTATTATTATTATGGGTAAGTAACTTGATTAGCTCATTTATTTGGCGTCATCAGGGGAGAAAAAAACCATCCCGAAGATTATATAGGAAAACGAAAACGTTAATGGAGGGGTTCAATTAAATGCTTTCCTATTCAAAAATTTTTAACAAAAAATCAGTAATGATGAGAGTATGCCATAAATTTATATCCAGTGCCACCATCATGCTCATGGAACCAGTTTTGGTGCAGCACATCACTTTGATAAACACTATAAACTCATCAAATCTGGATCGTTTATATTTCATTTGGATTGTCTAAATTTGATTTTTTTAATTAATTATTTTTAAATAGAAAAAACTATTTTTTGAAACAATGATAGTTAAGAGATTATCACTATTTTAGATTATATACGTATTAAAATAATTATTTTAAATAAATAAAAATAAAAAATCAAATCTAAACTATCCAAATGAGTTATATACGATCCAGATTTGATGAGTTTATGGTGCTTATCAAAGTGATAAGCACCGAAAATGCTCATGCTGATGCCATCCAGGGCCTGACTTCCTCCGAACGTCCTCTCCTTTTACGGCTTATAGATCTTTCAGGGTCTTTTTTTTCCCCTCCCCCTCCCAAAAGCCGTATTTTTCACTTAACAAAATAAATGTATTGTTTTTACCAAAAATAAATGAAAAAGAATATAAGGGAAAAAAATTCCATGCTCTCACTCTTTTGTATCAGTACAGACGTATCAATTAATTCTCTTTTAAATGGACTGTTTCCTAAATAACAACATCAAGGCATTGCTTAGAGGATGAGATATACTTTTTTTGAATGGATATACTAATATATTATTTTGGTAACCCCCAGGAAAAAAGAAGTCTATATATTTTTGTAAAAATAAGTTTTTACGTTTGTTTTAATCTAGAAAAATTATGCAATCACAAGTATGCCATTAAATAAATTAATAAAAAATTATTTCTAACGATATTACAGGAGAAAACAATTTTTTTTGGGAAGTAGGGTGGATATAAGAGCCTGTCCGTAGAAAAACTTAAATATCGTGTACTTCACATTTTTTTGGGTGCAATAAACAGAGAAATCGGTTTCGGTCATAAACTCTTCTATTGGTATTTTGGGCCGCATCGGGGTTGTAGAAGATCTCAAGGGTCCTATCACCTTGCACACTCTCTTCACCTCCAAACCAGTCATGTCTCGCGAACTCGATCCTATGGCGGCCCCCCTGCATATCCAATTTTTTGTAGTACTACTTATTTTCAATTCTCAACGGGGGGGACGATGCACGTTTTGCATCTCGATGCATATATAATTGAGGGAATATTAACAACAAGATGATTACTTGAATGGGTGCCATTTGGGAAAACAACCTAATAATCATTGCTTCATTTAAAAGGAAACCGCAAGTATAACATTATTTTAAAAAATCACGTAAATTATCATTGTGGATAATATTATGTGTGTAAATATGGCGCCTGCATATTCCAATTAATATAATAATCAGAGGATAGTGTCCAGATTAAGGTCTTGACAATAATACAGAAAGTGCCTTCACCGCGGAAAACCCTGCGCCCCCTTTTGGTTGTATAATAATGTGTGTGTATGTAAAAATGCAGTTTCAATTATTTTGATTTCACTCTCTGGTGAAAAAATGTTTTTATTTCATTCTATATTCAGTTTTTTCTTTTCCTTGTTTAAATTGATCAGGTGAATTTATATGCTTCAAATTTAATACTTAAAACGTTATGAAGATAATAAATAATTATGATTTGATTTGAAAATTCATTAATTTTAATTAAAAAAGGGTCGGTAAAATATGTTTGATCCAATACGACAGGACGCAACGCGGCCGCACGTTTGGGATTTTAGTTTTTTTTTTTTTTTTTGGGGGTTCCGCCACCAACTTTTGTCTTTGTCTTCTTAAAGGAGGATGATGCACGTTTCACATCGCTATCAATAACTAATACAAGTCATTTTACTCGTATTAATTACTATTATGGGTAAGTAACTTGATTAGCTCATTTCTTTGGAGTCATTAGGGGAGAAAAGCCCATCCTGAAGATTATACAGGAAAAAGAAAACGCTAATGGAGAGGTTCAATTAAATGCTTTTCTATTCAAAAAATTTTAACAAAAAATCAGTAATGATGAGAGTATACCATATATTTATATCTGGTGCCACCATCGTGCTGATGCTGATACCATCCAGGCCCGACTTCCGCCGAACATCCTCTCCTTTTACGGCTTATTGATTGTTCAGAATCCTTTTTTTTTTTTGAAGTCAAAAGCCGTATTTTTCACTTAACAAAATAAATATATTGTTTTTACAAAAAATAAATGAAGAAGAATATAAGGAAAAAAAATCCATGCAACCATTCGTTTGTATCAGTACAGACGTATCAATTAATACTCTTTTAAATGGATTGTTTCCTAAATAACAACATCAAGGCATTGCTTAGAGGATGAGATATACTTTTTTTTAAAAAAATACTAACATATTATTTTGGTAACCCCCAGGAAAAAAGAAGTCTATATGGTTTTGGAAAAATAAGTTTTTACGTTTTTTTCATCTAGAAAAATTATGCAATCACAAGTATGTCATCAAACAAATTAATAAAAATTTATTTCTTACGATATTACAGGAGAATTTTTTTTTGGTGGTAAATTAGGGTGGATATAAGAGTCTGTCCGTAGAAAAATTTAAATATCGTGCATTTCACAACAGAAGAACTGTTTTTTTTTTTTTGGGTGCAATACACAGAGAAATTGGTTTCGATCATAAACTCTTCTATTGGTATATTGGGCCTCATCGGGCCAGTAGAAGATCTCAAGGGCCCGGTTTTACTTCATCTCCAAACCAGTCATGTCTCGCGAACTCGATACCTTTTCTTTTTTTTTGGGAAAAAATTATATGTCAATCCAAAACCTCCAAGTTTTCTGTTCCGTCTGAACCGAAACCTCCAAGTTCGATTGGACTCAAAAATTGGTCTGCAAAATCTGCCCATTGAACCCCCAGCGATTTGATTATTGTTCATTGTTGGTGAATTTACACGATGATGCCAAAGACAACAGCTGAAGGACGTTTTCTTCCAAGGGTATCTCTGTCTTTTTAATTCTAATTATATTTAACCAAATATAAAAAAATAAATTGTACGTTTCAGTTTCTCCACTCCCAAATGCCATAGTCATACCAAACAAATTTACGCAAGCATCATTCTATCAAATTTAGGTACGCAACGTCACCACACGCTCGAGACGTGTCATAAGAAATCTGGTGAATTAGTTTGTTATTTATGCCTCAAAAATGGTGTGATATGTATGCATATATTCACAAATAAAAAGCATTTTTAGAAAATGAAAACTCTTAGTTTGAAACATTTAGTGGTAGGGTGGTGTAATAGTTAATGAGTTGTTTTCGGGTGTTTCAGTCTAATTATAAATTTTATTTATGATATTAATTGCACAATAATGAATATTAGGGTAATTCTTAATCACGTTCGCGGTTCTTTGGTTTTATGTACTCCAGATATGATTTATAACGTGGAACACCACCTGCTTAATTATCCTTCTGCTTGATTCTTTACGCGGAGAACCAAATATCTGTCCACTGCAAGTACCCCGTCATAACCGCAATATCGATTTATCTTAATACCAATCCTAATTGTTCCACGTTGATTCGAGTGTCTATGGATGACCAACCGGCAAGATATTCCTTATTTGTTGGTCTTCAATTGAAATACGCACTCCAGCTAATTACTTTCCAGGTTCATCCTAGGGCTATGTGCATCCTGTGTTCCCGTGCAGAATACTTGTCCCACTCCAGTACAGTACTAAATATAAGTCACTAATAATAAGAAGTTTTGGCCCTAAGTAAATTATTTTTAGTACATTTAATGCTTGCTTTTTAATTTTATTTTTAAATTTTCATTAGAAAAAGAGAAAAAAGGGAGAGAGATGATGTGAAAATAATTTGTAAATATAAAGAGAAGGGAAAGTTAGACAAGAATACAATCATAATAAATTTCTGTTAACTTGATGCACTTCTTCTTGGGGGAGAATGCATGGAAATCGTAGACAAGTTCTGTTTTTCACTTCATGTGAGATCCATGCATGCCCTAGGTCGAAGTCATTTAAAAAAAAAAAAAACAACGGAGAGAGATATAAAAATCAAATCGGTCCAAAACAACGAGCCCACCACGTCTGGGAAAGGTGAGTGGGATACAACGAGGCAAATGATTACTCGGATAAGGATAGCGGCCTACGTTAGCTCTGAATACGACTGTGCAAATACATTAGCCTAACGATGATGATTAAAAGCCCGGCAATTCTTCCTGATCTCCCCAGATTTTCCGACCAAAACGTCAAGGCTTCCCAGCTTGATCATAGCATTTGCGAAGCTTCGCTTAAAACTCTCACCATTCGCCGCAAAACCCGCAACAATGCCCCTGGACGACTTATCCACAGCCAATTGCTGGTCAATATGAAGCACCCCTCTCCTCTTCCTGATCTGCCTGTAGTACTCGTTATCAAATACGAACGACGTGTTTTGGTCCAACACTATCTGGGGATTGTTCCTCGCCGGCCGTCTCGCTGACCCACACGTTCGTACCAGCTTAGCATTCAGAGCAGGGTCCATAGTAGGATCACGCCTTCCAAAACTGGACAGCCTGCCTCGAACCAAGCTGCAGTGAGTGAAGCCCACCGTGTGTGCTCCCAGAAGAGTCACCATCTCCTTCAACGAAAACCCTTTTGCTCTGAAAGATTCGAACGCCTGAGACACTGAGAAAGATGATTTTGGCACGTTAACTTCTTTAGGATTGGACACCAGCCCATCTCGGCGGCCTGTGGGAACGTTGTATCTGGGTCCTCCCGCTAGAGCCACCGCGTCCCTTGTGGCCAGCGTTAGGATATCTGCGCACGAAACTGTGGAAGGACAGGCTTTTTCTAAGGCTCTCTTTATGTCGTCGATCAACTCAAAGCTATCGAGGTTTATGTTGGGCGGTGCTTGTTTCTCCGATGCGTTTCCCCTCCTTGGGTCTATTAGTATGGAGCCGTCGCATCCCTGAAATTTAACCGCGGCATCAGCGACAACATCATACGTACGTTACGTGACATTATTAACAAAGACAAGAATAACGAATAGCCCGGACGCGGTGGTTCTTTCTTACTCTAACAAAGCAATCGTGGAAGTACATTTGAAGGAGGTCGGCGGTGATGAATCTGTGGTGTTTGAAGCGCCTCAGCACGGCATGACGGACGATGGTCTCGGCAGATGGGCAGCTTCTGCGATAGAATCCAACCCTCAGGTGGGCAAATGCAAAGGGAAGCATAAAAAGCAAGACAAGGATGATACTGGATATCTTCATTTTTGGCTTCCTCGATGTATTTGTGAGTTGATGAGGAAGGCGAGAAGGAAGGATCGTATTTATACACAGAGATGCATCTCATACTATAATGAGGAGCGACTTGCTAATCAAATATGTAGTGATAATTAAACTAAAGCACTCCATATAAAAATAAAAAGCACGCATGGTTTTTGCTTTGGTCATATGAGAATCCAATGTCATTAACCAGTGGAGTTGCAACAGTTTAAATTTACTGTGAAACTTGTCTTTTATCAGTAAATGGAAGCTTCACGTGAAAACAGTTGAGAAATAAAAAATTAGAAATAGTTTTGGGGGAATGTGTGGCACTTTTTAACGCTGCTTACGTGTTTATAATTGGAAAGATGAGGTTGAAAGAAAGAAGAGTTGACGGATCGGTGAGACCCAGTGCTGGTTCCAAAAAGAAAAGAAAGACAAGACTGATCGAATTGAGCGGAATTCACATGGATGGTTGGTAGAGAGCAAGCGGATAATGTTTCAGATTAGAATCATTTTAATTCTCCTCCTACTTAACGGGTGTCCGGTTTTTTAAAAAAATTTTTATATAAATCGAAACAAAAATTTTCTTATATATTTACTTTATATATCGTAAAATTATTTTTAAAATTATGTAATTAAACACTCTCTTAATATAAAATTATAAATAATTTTTAAATAATTCAAGCAGCTGACTAAAAAAAAAAAGACATCTAAACAATGTTTGAAAATAAGTAATTAATTTTTCCTGGAAGTTTACAAAATGTAAGGAGTATAATAATTTTAAAAATTGTGCATAGGGTGAGATTTGGAAATTAAAATTTACTTATTTCTAGATAATGAAAGAAGGGTTATAGGGAGTGCAGCTGCGCATGAAGAATATTCAAAAAAATTGGAAGAAGGATTCACCAGAAAAAAAAAATTAAAGGAGGGTGGTCAGTGGTCAGAGGATTAATTTGGGTCTTAAAATTATAATGAATACAGTGCACGTATACCCATCTCCATATATGCTCTGACCATCTGTCCATTTCACGCCGCTTAAATTACGCATCATTCATCATTTTGTGCCCTGCAACTTGTCTTTTCATAATCTAGAGCGCTCTGAACCAGGAAAATTGCTCGACCCCAACGGAAAAGCTGGAAAATTTTCCAGACGATGAAAGGGGAGCAGAACGAAACAACAAAAATTTACTACAACGTTTTTCATGCCCCCTTTTTATTAATCAGTGGCCGACAACTTTTTCCCATCCTATGAAATGCAATAGTACCTACTAGTTAAAAACAGCTGGGACTGTCTACCGGTTGAATCATGCTTTATTATGTAATTTAATTAGTGGGATCAATGTAGCGTCTATATAGAATATAGAATATATAGATATAGATTTAGCAACAAGTCGTAAGTTAACGATCATTCCATTGGATTAGGAGGCGCTCTAGGCCTTCAACTTCAACCACGTGATGATTTGCACATGGATGCAGAGACACAAGTAATTTTGGTGAGCACTTTTCAAAAATCATGTTATGCGCGTACATCTTATTTTAATGTTCTAGAACTAATTTAAATACATTAGGCATTATTATTTTTCAATTACATTTCAATAATTTTATTTTTAAAAATATAAAATGTAAAATGGTGTTGTGATTTTATGATCATAATTATTTGCCTAAACATTGTTATTTAAATTAAAATTTTCCAAATAAAATTCACCAGATTTAATTACAAAAGTATTACTTCCGGATCTAAATATAAGATTTTATAGTGAAAATAGTTGTTCACAATAGAAAGTAGGGTGTCACAATTTTTTGCTACAAGCCTGTGGATATATTAATATTTGTTTTTTTTTTGTAATGTAAATTACATTACAAAAAAGATCATATATTTAGGACCGGAAGAATACTATTTAATTAGGATTGGACATCATGAATGGCGACACAAGCAGCATCCACTGCGACTGCGCTGTAGGGCATGCATCAGAACGTGGTAGGGCTACAATTCCACGCACCAATTAGTATTATATTATAAAACGATTTATCAAAATATAAAAATTATTGCCAAAGAGACTGCATTGGAAAACAAGTTGGTGGTAATTAGGGGGATACAAGATTCAGGGCATTGTTTATGGCACATCTCAAGATATTTCACGACAAATGAATTTATTTTACCATAAACAAGGAAACTCTATTTTTAGTAGATTGGGCGGTCACGGGCCACTAGAAGTCGTCGCGGGCCCAAACGTCTTGAAAACTCAAGAGGGAAGAAAAATGTAATCATCCGATGGCCTCGTATGCGGAAGATGCTTCTTGATTAAGGGGTGTTTGAAAATTCCAAAAAGCATTTTTTTAAAAGTATTTTTATGTAAATCAAGACAAAATTCTTCTCATATACTCCTCCAATCCTAAATATAAGACCCTTATATATATACACTATAAAATGGGTCTCAGGTTTAGAATCGGAAGAGTATTTATTTAATATATTATAAAATTATTTAAAAAAGTATGGTTTTGATTTTCAGTCAAACAAGCCCAAAACACATAGATCAAGATTATTGAGACCTAATAATAGGTAGAATTCTCGGTTGCCCCTCGAAAGTCATAACTTTAGTTCCAATAATCCTTAATTATTACCTTACGTGGAGGAGTTCTCACCTCTTTAACGACTTGCTTCATCTCTTATTTTACAGTGCTAGTTTATCCACAATTTTTTACGCTGCTTTGTCCGCCCTAGCGGTCTCCGCCGGAGAACCAACCAGCAAGACATTCTTCCCTTGCTGGCATGTAAATTTGAAATATTTCGACTTTCTATGTACAACTTACCGCAAACGATCACGTGTTTGACTGTTTCCATGCTTGTATAAACCATATCATTCCACCAGAGATTCATTCCCAAGATTTAAAAAAGGGCAAGAAATATAAACCAAATTAAATCATCATTCCAGAATCCAAAAGATCAACGTCTAAGGGTCACACCACCGTCTATCTTACAGGGTGATGAATGCGATACAATGAGACAAATAATTAATTTGAGTCCATCACTGCTATGGACTCGGATAACAGCAGCCTCCTTTAATTTAGGTGGAATGTGATTGGGCAAAGGCAAAATCACTAGTCTAGCGAGGATCATTGAAAGCCCTGCAATTCTTCCTGATCTCCCCAGCGTTTCCAACCAGAACATCAAGGCTTCCCATCTTTATCATAGCCTTCGCGAAGCTTCGCTTAAAGCTGTTCCCGTTGGCAGCAAAACCAGCCATGATGCCTCTGGACGACGCATCCACACCCACCTGCTGATCAATATGAAGCACCCCTCTCCTCATCCTCACTTGCCTGTAGTACTCGTTATCAAACACCAACGATGTATTTTGGTCCAGCACTATCTGAGGATCGTTCCTTGCCGGCCTCTGTGCCGACCCACAGATTCTTCCCAGCTTATCATCCAAAGTAGGGTCCATGGTAGGATCACGGTTTCCGAAACTGGACAGCCTGCCTCGGACCAAACTGCATTGTGTGAAGCCCACCGTGTGGGCTCCCAGAAGAGTCACCATTTCGTTCAACGAAAACCCTTTTACTCTGAAGGATTCGAATGCCTGAGACACCGACAGCGACGGTCCGGGAATATTCACTTCATTAGGACTTGACACCAGCCCGTCGCGGCGCCCAGTTGGAATGTTGTATCTGGGTCCTCCCGCCAGAGCCACCGCGTCCCTTGTGGCTAGTGTTATGATATCTGCGCAGGAAACCGTGGAAGGGCAAGCTTTTTCTACTGCGGCCTTTATCTCGTCTATCAAGTCAAAGCCTTCAAGGTTTATGTTGGGTCCCGCCTGCTTCTCCGATCCCTTTTGCCCTCGTGGATCAATTAGTATGGAGCCGTCACATCCCTGAAACCATACCGCCAACATTTATGCTTGACAAAATACATATAGTCATATACTAAAACAAGTATGTATAGAGTCACTTGGACTTGCAGAGGATCTTACCCTAACAAAGCAATCATGAAAGTGCATCTGAAGCAAGTCGGCGGTGATGGTTCGTTGGCGATTGAAGTGCCTTCGCACAGCTCGACGGACGATAGTCTCAGCGGATGGGCAGCTTCTGCGATAGAATCCAACCCCGAGGTCGGCAAATGCGACGGGAAGCACGAAAAGGAAGATGAGGATAATATTGGCTATCTTCATTTTTTTGGATCTCTGTATATTTGTGTGTGCTGGGGAGGGGTGTGATGAGTACAAGCCTAAAGGAAGAGTCTATGTTAAAAGACTAGCCTATTAGAAGGAAGAGTTTTTTGAACTTATAAATTCCACAACACTTCTGAGATTTCCTAACGTGGGACTCATAATAGAGCACTTTTCTCGAGAGCCGATGTCCCCGGTGGCTCCACTCTACAGCACTTCACTCGGTCTTTTTACCGGTAAGAACCCTCCGCAGGTAACCCTTTCTGGTTGGCTGACTCTTAATAAAAGCATCAATGTGATAAGCATAAGCCCAAAGGAAGAACCCAATCCCAATAGGTTAGTCTTTTGGGATTAAGCTCTCCCCTTGAGTTTATACTCATCACAAGGGGCAAACGGAAGTTATATATATCGAGCGAGAGGAGGTCCTGCACACTCGCATTAGTGATGAGGAGTGATGACTATATAGATAGTCAGGCGGAAGTAATAATTTATATTAACGCGTGCTGAATAAGTGAATATAAAAGGAAGAGCCAGGCATGGTTTTTGGGAAATTAATCAATGAGCAAGCAAGGAGTTCATGACCGTTATTATTTTTCTAACTCAGTACATTATATATACGGATATATCTGCTACCCGTGTGTGTGTAGAGAGAGAGAGAGAGAGATTTTCGTTTCACGCACATTATAAGTATAAAATTCATAGTTTGCTTGTAAAGCATTTGTAAAGTTTAATCTGTGGAGATGTGCGTATATGCTATGAGTTGAAACCGGTGTCAGTGTCAAAATTTTCAGCCCGTATGCGTAGCAAGAAATTAAAAGCTTATACGCATGTATATGCTCTATCATCTAACTTCACACGTGCACCTGAATCCAGAAGCCAATTAAGTCCCTCAAAGCAGTGCGGGATTTTAGGAGCATGTACAAGAATATGGTGTCTCGAGCGATTTAATTTGCAAATATATATGTAGTGCCACAGGTCTCTTTAATTATATAAAAGAAGCCAATAATGTCAATAGCGAATGAGACTACCTAAAGTTTACATAATTGAAGGTGGATGTATATGAAACTTTTCTTTTGTTTGTGGAAAGTTGGATTAATTAATATGCAAGTAGGAGTTTAAAACTATGAATCAGAAACAAATTTAATTTGGGGAACGCGCAGCAACTTTTAATGCTGCTTTTCTGCATCAATAATGAGAATGGTGGGGTTAAAACAAAAAGACAAGTTTGAGGATCAGGACGAAATTGAGGGGAGGGAAATTCACTTGGAGGGTGGGTTATGGAGATAATAAATAATTATGGAGAGCTTCAGATTTGATTTAAAAATTCATTATTTTTAACTAAAAAGGGGTAGATAGAGTGTGTTTGATTTGATATGACAGGATGCAACATGGTTGCAAGTTTGCGTGTAAGTGTAAGGGGGTGTAAAAACTTAATGATCTAGTCCAGTCCAACCTAACCTCAAGTGGTCCAATCAAATCCAATCTAGTCTAATCAAAATAAATTATATAATAAAATTAGACCAAACTAATTGGTCGGGTTGAATTGGTTTTCAGACCAAGTGATCAGACTACCTAGACTAGTTTGATCCAATCGAGGTGAATTTTTTAATTTTCAATAATTTGTAATTTAGACGATACTTTCAATTTTTTAATAACTTTAGAGATTTTTGTTTATTTATAATGAAATCTTAATATCTTAGGATGAGTTTTATATGATTATAGGTTTTCTTTTTGTCTTGAATTGTATCTATCATGTTGAAATCTTGCCTTCCATAAAGAGGGGAAAAAAAAACAAAGGAAACTTGGACTGATTGGATCATTCCACTAATCTGGCAGACCAAATCGAATCTTGGATCACCACTGAACTGGACCAGACTACAGACTGTCAAATCCAAACTGATCAAAATTCAGATCAGATTTTGGGTTGAGTTTTGATCTGATCCGGTCTGTCCATTATGCAACGTTATTTGCAAGAATTTTTTTTTACCCCCGCTCCGCCACCAACTTTTGTCCTTGTTTTCTTAATGGAGGATGACGCACGTTTCACATGACCACCAATAACTAATACAAGTAATTTTATTAATTATTATTATTATTGTAGGAGACAAATAATTAATTTGAGTCTATTACTACTGTAGACTCGGACAACGGCCTCTCGTTCAATAATTTAGCTAGAATGTATATGATTGGCCAAACACGCACGCTAGTCTAGCGAGGGCTATTAAAAGCCCTGCAATTCTTCCTGATCTCCCCAGCGTTTCCAACCAAAACATCAAGGCTTCCCATCTTTATCATAGCCTCCGCGAATCTTCGCTTAAAGCTGTTCTCGTTGGCAGCAAAACCAGCCACGATGCCTCTGGACGACGCATCCACACCCAACTGCTGGTCAATATGAAGCACCCCCCTGCTCATCCTAACCTGCCTGTAGTACTCGTTATCAAATACCAACGATGTATTTTGGTCCAGCACTATCTGAGGATCGTTCCTTGCCGGCCTCTGTGCCGACCCACAAATTCTTCCCAGCTTAGCATCCAGAGCAGGGTCCATGGGAGGATCACGGTTTCCGAAACTGGACAGCCTGCCTCGGACGAAACTGCAGTGTGTGAAGCCCACCGTGTGAGCTCCCAGAAGAGTCACCATTTCGTTCAACGAAAACCCTCTTACTCTGAAGAAGGATTCGAATGCCTGGGACACCGACAGCGACGGTCCGGGAATATGCACTTCACTAGGACATGACACCAGCCCGTCACGGCGCCCCGTTGGAACGTTGTATCTGGGTCCTCCCGCCAGAGCCACCGCGTCCCTCGTGGCTAGTGCTATGATATCTGCGCAGGAAACCGTGGAAGGACAAGCTTTTTCTACGGCGGCCTTTATCTCGTCGATCAAGTCAAAGCCTTCGAGGTTTCTGTTAATTCTCGCCTGCTTCTCCGATCCCTTTCGCCCTCTTGGATCAATTAGTATGGAGCCGTCACATCCCTGAAACCACACCGCCAATATTTATATTTGACACAACACATATAATAAACCACTATATATAGAGTCGCTTGGACGTGTAGTGGTTCTTACCCTAACAAAGCAATCATGAAAGTGCATTTGAAGCAAATCGGCGGTGATGGATCGCTCGCGAATGAAGTGCCTCCGAACAGCTCGACGGACAATAGTCTCAGCGGATGGGCAGCTTGTGCAATAGAATCCAACCCTGAGGTCGGCAAATGCGAAGGGAAGCACAAAAAGGAAGATGAGGATAATATTGGATATCTTCATCTTTTTGGATCTCTGATTATTTGTGTGTGTTGGCGAAGGGCAAATGGAAGCTCTATATATGGAGCGAGAGGAGGTCCTCCACGCTCTCACGTCAGTGAGAAGTGATGATTAGACCGTCACAGTGAAGTAATAATCATATTAACGGGCTGAATATAAAAAGAAGAAACATGGTTTTTGGAAAAATAGACAATGACCGAGCAAAGCATTCATGAATTATTTTTTTAAAATTCAGTACATTAATTATATCTCTATCCGCAAGACTGCAACTAGAGAGAGGAAGAAATGTTTTCGCCTGTTAAAATAAGAGTTAGTTAAATAATTTAAATAAATAAAAAAATTAGTTAAATAGAATTAGTTTGACTTTTAATTTGTTCCTAAATATAAGACTCTAAAACAACACCTATTTATTATAAAAAAACTAACTTAATAAATTCTCTTAATCTACTCAAATTAGTCAACTAACTTATATTAAGAATAGGAGGTAGTATTTGTAATAAATAGGTGTTGTCTTTCATAAAATATCCTTATTAATCAAGTATATTAGCTAGAACTATCATTATTATAAAAATTATCTTAAAAAATATAAATATGATAAATAAAAATAAATTGAAATATTATTATTTAAAATAAAAATAAAAATAAAAAAACTCTCGCAGAGATACGCAAAGATAGTACCTGCGCAAACTTCTGAGCATAAAATTCATAGTTCACCTAACCATCTGTAAAGTTTAATCTGTAGAGATGTGCGCATATGCTATAAGTTTAAGCCGTCCTAAGTGTCAACATTTTCCACATGTGTAGCAAGAAATTAAAAGCTGATAAACATATATATATATATATATATATATTGTTGAGTTGGTTTTGATTATAAATATAAAATTTATTTTTTATATTTATTAATTTTTTTTAAAATTATCCTTAGTGATATTTTTTTAGCCATAATCAAATAGAAGAAGGAGAAAAAATTAAAAAAGATGATTATGAAATGTTAAAAAAAAAACATGTCACATTTTGTATAATTATTTAACTTACCTTATTTTTTTTCATAAAATCAAATTAGTTTAATAGAAGAGTTGAAGAAATATCTATATGCGTGCTTCAGGATTCAAAAACCAAAGCCTTCACGGACTTCGAAATTTTAGGAGCAAGTCCAAGAATATGCTCTCGAGCGATTTAATTGATTTGCAAATATACCATACGTGGTGCCACCGGTTTCTTTAATTTTATATAAGGACCCAGTGTCATTGTCGCGTGAGACTGCCAAAAGTTTATATAATTGAAGGCGGATATATAAAATAATATATATGACTGTTGTTTTTTTGGGTTTGTAAGTGGAAAGTTGCATGTAATTAATATGTAAGCAGCCAGGAGTTTAAAACTACGAACTAGAAACAATTTCGTGGAGAACGCGTGGCAATTTTGAATGCTGCTTTTTTGTATCAATGATGAGAATGGTGGGGTTAAAGCAAAGACAAGGTGGGGGATGGATAAGGACGAAATTGAGGGGAGGGGAAGTCTTGTGGAGGGTGGGTGGGTTGTCGGTCGCGAACGCGGATAATTTTTTCAGATGAGGATCCTTTTTAATATGGTGATTAAGAAATAAAACGTTAAGAGCGCAGATGAGATATGATTAATTAAGATCTAATAACTTTTATATGTTAATGAAATAAAACATGTTGGAAGTGCAGCTGCGCGTGAAGAGTATGCACACAATTGAGGGCTGCTAACCCATTCACCAAGGGGAAAAAGATGGGTGTAACGTGTAAATATTCAGAATGGGTTTCAATACCCATTGTAGTGATAATCATCGTAATACTTATCAAATATCACTTATTCGAATTTAATATGAACGACCAAAATTTGGTATTTAATATTTTTTTCAAAAAAATACTTTCTTTTTTATAAATATATAATTTAAGATAAATGTAATGTCTTAACTGTAAGTTTTTTTTTGAAAAAAAAATTTACTTGAAAATAACTAGTTAAAGATTTTAAATTTATACCATTAAAATTGGTTTTAAATAGTTTAGATTTCATGATAAGTACTAAAATTGGTTCGTAAATACTCTTTAATGGGTGGTTAGGAATGGATAATTATATTATTATTAAAATATTAAATTATATAAAAAATATAACGCATTTGTTTTAAATGTGGGAATTATTTATTTAATTTGATTACATTAAATAAGCTAATTAAGTTACTTAATTTTAATTATAACTTGTGTAACCTAATCTTACTAAAATAATCATGTGTAAGGTCAGAGGAACCAATTTCGGTGCTCATCACTTTGATAAGCATCATAAACTTATCAGATCTAGACTGTCTATATTTCACTTGGATGATTTAGATTTAAAATATTTAATTAATTATTTTTAAATAGAAAAACTATTTTTTTTGAAAGAATGATAGATAAGAAATTATCCCTATTTTAAATTCTATACATATGAAAATAATTATTTTGAATAAAAAAAACTAAATCTAAACCATCAAAATGAGACATGAACTGTCCAGATCTGATAAGTTTAGAGCGCTCATCAAGGTGATGAGCATCAAAACTGGTTCCAAGATCATATCATAGACCTTGCTAAAAAAGCGCTAAGTGCAGCTCCTGAATGGGTCTTCATTTAGTGTTCATTACGATGATAAGCACTATGTACTTATCACTGTAATGTAATCTAAACTATTCAAAATCTAATATGGATGATTTAGATTTAAAATTTTTAATATACAATTTTTTCAATGATAAATTTAACTTTTAAAGACATGTTAGTTATGATATTATATTTATTTTAAATTCTATATCTATTAAAACAAAAATTTGATTAAAGTATATAAAAAAATTAAATTCAATCTAAACTATCTAAAACTGATATAGATGGTTTAAATTATGATAAGCATGTACTCCATGCTCATATGCTCCCGCTCTTGGATTCCTTCCGTGTTCTATGTCCTTCTAGAGATTTGCTTAATTACTTTGTTGAATAATGATTTGATGGGTATGGAACCCAGCAGTGACGGGTAGCGTGGCGTGATGGTACACTCATGAGTGAGTTAACTAATTTAAATAAATTAAAAAAATTAGTTATATTAGTTATTTATCATAAATATATATTGTGTTTTTTAAAATATCATTATTAATAAAATATATTGGTTAAAACTATTATTATTATAAAAACTATTTTGAAAAAAAAGAATAAATACAAGAGAAAAAAATAATCGGGATGTTATACTCAGAATCAAAATAAAAGTCAAAGGAGTTTTTATATTAAAAACTAGAGGTAGTGTAATTTTTTTTCCACCAAAGATTATATACCAAAGTTAAGCAAAGTAACTTTTTAAAAAATAGAGTGGCAATTAAAAAAACATGCGAGTATTATATATCAAACGAACTAGGGTTGTGCATAGACCAAACCAGACCGGGTTTAATATCAACTTGAGGTCTGGTCTGGTTAAGGCATCGGGTTGAACAAATCAACCCATGGTTTGGTCCGGCATTAACCCGACATCGGGCTGGACCAGACTTGGTCTGGCAGGCTGCCTGGACTAGTCCAGCCAGTTCAAAATCTCTTCTTCTTTTTTCCCTTCCCGTTTATTAGAGTCAAAATTCCCCCTTCTATCATAACCAAAATTTCACCCTGATTTAATTTTTTATAGCATAATCACAATAATCGCAAACTAAAGCTTGCATAAATCTCATTTATGTAGAAAAATAACAGGGAGATATAGTAGTATGTAGAAGAAACAGAAAAAAGGGGGGGAAGGACGGCAAGTCGACGACTTTGTTGGATGTTGTAGATAGTGATAGTGCTGATTTATTCTGCAAATGAAGGCTTGTTTGAAGCGAGATAAAGCCAACAAATATGATCAACTTCTGGGTTTTCTTCTTCTTACTTGTTTGGAAAGAAAATGATAGATCTGAGAGAGGCTGTGACTGAAGGAGAGAAGAAAAGGTCAAAGAAGAGTGATGAAGCAATAAGGATATGCCATGGCAAAAAAGAAAAGAGAAGGGCCAACAGAAGGAAAGGAAGACGATGGAGGAGGGGACAAAGAGGCAAATGGGGGAAAGGAGGGGGGGAAAATGACGGGAGGGGAGAGGCGCATTGGAAAGAGTGAAAGAGAAAAGGGGGAAAAGAAAGAAAAGGACAATGATGGAGGAGAGAGAGGGAGGCGCATGGAAAAGGAAAAAAATAAGGAAGAATTTAATTTAGGTGAAATAAAAATACATATTTATAAATTTTTTAAAACATGGGTCAGACCAGACCAGACCATCTGGTCTACAAAGTCAGCCTGAAACCGAAACCCGGTCTGACCCGATAACCAGTCTGGTCTTATCTGATTTTTTGTTCGGACTGTTTTTTTCGGGTTAGACTGGACCAGGCTTTTATCAGACTGGATCGGGTTATCTGGACCATCGGGTTTTTTGCACAGCCCTACTTTGGTATGTCCACATCGTATTTGAAACCAGGCCATCGCGCCTCCCTGCGGGGACCTCGTACTTGGGCTCTCACGGCAAGTACGATGATATCAGCACATGGGACTGTGGAACGGCATTCAATTTCCAGGATTTCTTTGATATCATCGATCACGTCGAACCTCGAAGTAGCAAGTTATGGCTCGCGTCCTCTTCTGAATTCCTTCCCTCCGTGTAGTCTATCAGAATCGAGGCATCACATCCTTACAAGAAACTCAGTTATATATATTCAACGTGATCATCAATTAACGCAGGGAAATAAATTTGCAATATATGTTTATACATAGTGTTAGTGGGGTCTTACCCTGACGAAACAGTCATGAAACTGCAAACGAAGAAGAGCGGCGGTCAAAGATCAGTATTGGCTTAATTGTTGGCGCACCAGTTTCTGTACAAGGGGTAGAGCCGTGGAAACCAACCTGCAGATCACCAAATCCAGACGGAAGTTGTTGGAATAAGAAGAACAAGAAGTATAGGAGCAGCATTGGAGTCGTGTTATTGGTCTTGCTGAGCGTAGCCATGCTTGCCTGGTTTTGTCACCATTGAGTCGTCATGTATTTATATTTTGGGTAGAAGCAGAGCTTGCCGTCCAATGATCTTTCTGCCTTCTCTGGAAAGCATTATAAAATAATGAAGCTATGAATTCCTGACGGATCCTACTAGGGGCTTAACTGCATTCAATTCAGGGGACTCGTACGTCCACCACACCATCGATGATAACTAAGCGCTTATAGCCATAGCTCC